GGGGGGGGGGGGGAGATATCACCGGTGTTTGAATGAGGAGACTTGACTCGAGGATCCTCGTGTAGTTAAATATGATTCGGTGTCGTGGCCCTGAATGTTTGATGTGACCTCGTGTCATGTGCCCCACCGGAGGTGAACGGACACAGGTCAAGCTCCTGCGGTGCCTCCTCATTTCATCCGGTTTACGTTTTTATTTTTATTGAAAGCAAAGTGTCCTGTCGTCTCCTGTTTGAACTCCCCACGTCGAAGTTTGCTCCTAAAAGATAAGAGCCACCGCCTCGCACTGTGCGTAAATGAGTAGATGTCTGATCCATGATGTCTCTTCATGGATGAAAATGTGATGCAGTTGGAAACTTTTTTTTTTTTTCTGTGTGTGTGTGTGTGTGATACCTCCTGGTGAGCAATTAACAAGTCCAACAGTTTCCATGGGCAAATGCAAACAGGTGGTCTACCCCCTTTCTCTTGGGCATTAGCATTTAACAATACACCCAGTTGTGAAATGGCCTCTTGGTTAGCAGACAAATTAAAAAGCTCACTTATCAGGCTTTCACAGGCTGTGAAAATACTTTAAGGTAATCAACATCAGATTACCCCCCCCTTTTCTTTTGGCTCATGTTTGCATTGTAAACTTTGGTCTTTGCAGTTTGTCTTCGACTTACATCTGGGACATAAAATTCTGTGTAAAACTTGATGGATATCCATTGCGTGTTGATGAGCAAAGATTTTACTGGTCGATGGTTTTGAATGACTGGTCATAAGTTTGGCCCCACATGTGGTGCCTGAAACAGATCTGATATTTTAGCAAGTGGTTGGGGGGCTGATTTCAGAAACACAGTAATTCAATGCCCTTTGGCTCTTTGTCTTCCTGGACAGTGCTCTGGGTGGTGTCAAAGGTAGATGATTGCCCTCTGCTGGCCCTGCAGCCAACAGGCGAATTCAAATCCCTTTACAGCCCAATGCAGTGACCCAAAAAGATTTTAAAACATAATGTACTCAATACACACAAAGTAATGACTCACAATTAGACAAATGTTAAACATAAGCCTTTTAAAATCATATTCATTCATATACTCCTTGATGTGTTAAAGCAAAATGTATGAGTCTGTGAATAGCTTAGTTCTTTTATATATTTTTAAATTCCTCTTTGTATTGGTCTTTCATCATAACTGCAGTAAAGAGTATTCATTAAAAATCCTGTTTTCATCTTGTTTCAGGGATTCCTCGGGGTGATCGAGCTGAGGAGGCTGGAAATGAGATGAAGAGGTTCAAAATGGACGAGACCAGAGTCTGCAGCAAGTGTTGTGCTGAGTTCTTTGACGAAGCAGAGTTTCTTGAGCATGAGAGAAATTGCACTAAAAGTCAGCAAGTGGTCATCATGAAAGACGGAGATGGAAACGAAGTGCCTGAGGAATATTCTCCAGGCTCTCCCGAGGGTCTTACCAGCGACCACGATGATAGCCAGTCCAGTAGTCATTCCCTATCAAATGTTAATGCAGACCATCTGGAGAGAACGGAGGAGGAGTCGAGCATGAATGCAGATGACTCAGGACAACAGGATCACGCAGACATGTCTGGTAGCCCTGCAATGATTTTCAACCCCTCGCCCCAAATGCAAGATTCAAACGTCACTCTTGAAACCATGCCAGACACTAAAGTTGCTGTCTCACAACATTCTTCGAGCAGCTTATCGCTGACCTCGTCGCAGGAGGCCGTACAGACCATCCCGATGATATTGGAACAGTTGGTGTGCCTCCAGCAACAGCAGCTACAGCAGATCCAGCTCACAGAACAGATTCGAATCCAAGTTGCCATGATGACTCCGCATTGTCTCCAGTCATCCGTCAGGGCAGCAATGGATCCCCTGAAAGCCCTCGGTGCACATCTCTCCCAACAGCTTTCCGCTGCAGCAGCCCTGATAGGAAAAAGGACCGGCAGTCAGAGCCTTTCTGTGGAGACCATGAAGCAAGGTAAACTACCTCTGCCCACAGGTGTCTCTGCCTCTCTGCCTGCAGGAGTGGGTTCTTCTAAAACAGACATTTTGAAGGGCATTCCAGATCTGGCCAGCCGTTTACCAGCGCTGCTGCCCCAGTCACCGAGTGTCATGGGTTTCCCAAGCTCCTTCAATGGTATTCAAGCAGGAGTGGATTCCTCCAAAAAAGTGAAGACAAAGATGCTGAGCCTCCCGCCAGAATCGAAGAATGGAGACTCGTTATACAAGCACAAGTGTAAGTACTGCGGAAAGACGTTTGGCAATGACAGTGCTCTCCAGATCCACTTGCGTTCTCACACTGGCGAGAGGCCCTTTAAGTGTAACATCTGTGGAAACCGCTTTACAACCAAAGGAAACCTCAAAGTGCATTTCCAGCGACATAAAGACAAGTACCCAAACATTACCATGAACCCTCATCCTGTGCCAGAGCACCTTGACAATATTTCCACCAGCAGTGGAATTCCATTTGGCATGTCTATACCCATGGATGAGTCAAACATGACTGAAATCAAACCTATCCTTGCCCATCCTGCTGCTGGATTCCAGCCATCGCCCATTCCTGCATTCAAGTCGACATTTGACAGCTTTGGAGGGGACCCATTTTCACAGAGACCCTCACCATCAACAGGCGATGGCTCTCCTTCTGTTTCCTCTAATGGGTTTGGTCAAGAGACAGGACTGGGTCATAATCAGAAGGATACTAAAGAACTGTTTGGACCGCTGCATCATATGAATGGTAACTCTCTCCCAGGAGAACACGGCTCTGGAACAGCTAAACTTCAGCAAATGGTTGATGGCCTGGAGAAGAGGACCAATGATCCCAATGAGTGTGTAATATGCCACAGGGTGCTCAGCTGCCAGAGCTCACTCAAGATGCACTACCGCACACACACCGGAGAGAGGCCTTACAAGTGCAAAATCTGCGGCCGTGCTTTCTCCACCAAGGGAAACCTCAAGGCTCATTATGGAGTGCACAGGGCCAACACTCCTCTTAAGATGCAGCACTCCTGTCCCATCTGCCAGAAGAAGTTCACAAACGCTGTGGTTCTGCAGCAGCACATCCGCATGCACATGGGTGGGCAGATCCCCAACACCCCAGTCCCAGAAAACCAGTTTGACGCGGCAGAAGCAATAGAGCAAAATCTACCAGAGGAGAAGCCCATGGACACCAATGGGTTTGACGCAAGCATGGAGGATCGTGAGCCAGAGCTGAACTCCCAGAAGCCAAACGACACCTTAGATTCCCTCCCATCTGCCCCTGAGGAACAATCACAGAAGCCTGCCGCCCCTGTGGTGTTTTCCAGTCTAGATGTTCTGAAGAACCTCACCTCTGCTCTTGCACTGAAACGACAGAGTAGCACTGCTTCAGAGAGCGAGGGAACATCCAAAGAATCCCCATCGGCTCCTAGAGAGCAGGAATATCAGAACGGCCGTAGTCCTGCTATTTCTGACTCTGCGACGTCTTTTCATTCATCCTCTCCACTAAACAACACGAGCAGTAGCAAGTCACCTGAGTCTGCTCTTGATGACTTCACCTATAGTGGATCAAGACCAGAGTCTGATGGTGGCACTCAAGAGGGCACAGAGTCAAGTGGAGCCCTTGACCTCACAGCATCCAGCAACTTTACCCCCAAAGCCATTAAAGAAGAACCTGGCATGCCTTTCACTAACGGAGACTATGGTGAGTTTTATTGACTTCAGATAAAGTATTTTAAACGCTGTCACATTAAATATTAAGATCTAATTTTCCTCTTCTTGTGTCAACAGTTCCAAGTAACATGTCTTTCATGAGGATTCCATCAAGTCTGGCCAGTTTGGAGATGAAGATCCCCTCAGAGAATCATTTGGGCCCTCATGGTCTGTTCAGCTCTCACATGCCTCAGGGAACAGCCATGGCCTCTTCCATCTCCTCCGCAGCTCGACGATCAACCAAGCAGCACGTGTGTAACGCCTGTGGCAAGAACTTCTCGTCGGCCAGTGCCTTGCAGATCCATGAGCGCACTCATACAGGGGAGAAGCCCTTTGCCTGCAACGTCTGTGGCAGGGCTTTCACCACCAAGGGGAATCTTAAGGTTAGTCACTAAGTGTTGACTGAGGCATTTTCATTCAAACTATGTACTTTGCAATATAATCTGCCTGATACAGATTTTTAGGGGCCTATACCAATATTGGGGAATCTAAATCTTATACACTCAAACTCTAATGGAATGGAATTGAATGGAATTCTAAATCACTATGAATTGACTAGTTAGAATAGTTTCTATATCAACATAAATGCTCATCTTTTCTGCATTGTT